GAAATTGGGAACAGACTAGTTTCAACAGCATCGTGCCTATTATATCTTATACCGTTAGTGGAAATGAGTACGTGCTTACATGTGTTGACACGCACTAGTCACTTTCATGATTAGGTTAGCAAATTTGTTGGATGTGTGAATAGAACGTACGTTATCGTAATCTAACAGATAAAGCGTCCTTTACACAACTGATAGCCGCTACACTCAACGGAAAAAGAATCTTAGTATCTGTGCTTTACCGAAATTGGTCCCAGGGAAGCCATTTTCCTGGGATAGCAATTACGTAAGAGTTTTGCAAGCCTACCACGTTCATTAATTTGACTCATCTGTTCGGCGGGCTGAAATCGTTTTTGCATAACTTTATTGTCATATTGAAAGGTTCTCTTCTCACTCTTGGAAACCTAAGCATCAATTCATTTCAAGGCCTGGCAACACAAAAACGCACTACTTCGAGACGCTTCTCTCCTGATTATTATTCACTGTTATTTGTTCCTTGGGTTCCTAAAGGAACATAAGGCTTCAGTAGCGAGTCTCTAATGCATCCTGTTCGCTGAAATCTTTTGAACCTGACTCCACGACAGCCCACAAGCTCTCATTTCTCCCTCGCACGATCTCCATGTCACCGTCAAACGCCCAACTCGTCGCTTCCCATCAGGGTTCCACTCGACGGCTTGGCCTGACGCGTGATGTCCCAACTCGGCCTCCTCACTGTATGCCCAATCCATTTCCACTTCCACTTTCTTCTGCATATTTGTTCAGCGATAGCTTCTTCGTTGGTTCGTTCCCAGAGCGCCCTGTTGCTTATTCTGATTATTCTGGCAATCCATCTGATCTTCAGTAACGAGCCAGAGTAGGCAGTTGTTGATGAATGTCTGTAGTTTGTTGGAAATCCCCTTCGTAACGCGCCAAGTCTCTGAACTATACAGAAGCACTGACTTGACGTTGGTGTTGAAAATCCGAATCTTGTTCCACACGCTGAGGGCAGAAGATCTCCACACTGGTTTCAGGTTAATGGACGCCTGTCTTGTTAGTTTTTACCTGTGGATCTTCAGGTTTGTGCGACATCAGGCAAAAGTCATCGGCGAAATCCAAGTCCTCTAGGTTCTTTTCCGTGGTTCAGAGTATACACCTCTTCTCACAGCTCCTCACTGTTTGTCGCATGATCCAGACCACTACAATCAGGAATATCAGGAGTGATAGTAGGCAACCCTGTTTCATTCCTGTCTTCACCTCAAAAGTATCACTGAGCTTCTCATTGTGAATTACTTGGCATGTGGCGTCTTCAGATAGTTGTTGAATGAGATTGATAGAGGTTTGTGGTATTCCGTAGTAATGAAGCAGTTTCCAAATTACCTCTCGGTCGACGCTGTCAAAGGCCTTCTCAAAGTCGATAAAGTTGAGGTGTAGAGTTGACTGCCATTCTATACTCTGTTCTATGATGACGCGTAGTGTAGCGTTGCAATTTGATCCACAAATGATTTGTACTTCCTGAATCCAGCCAGCCTGTTCTGGTCGTAGTTTTGAATCCAGCGCATCCTTTAGCCTCTCCAGGATGATGCGGCTTAATATTTTGCTTGCTTTGGGTGGACAGGAGAGTGCTTCCTCGCCAGTTCTTGCAAACACTTAAGTCTCCCTTCTTCGGGAGTTTGACAAGGTAACCCTTCTTCCAATCACTAACCAGGTACCTTCCCTTCCTTCCAGACCTTCTGCAATGGTGGTGTGAGCATGTCCGCTGTTGTCGTCTCTGCATCTGTTCTCAGTGCTTCTGGCGGGATTCCGTCTGGTTCTACTGCTTCCCCACACTTCAGTAGCTTCATGGTGCTCAGGACTTCGACTTCCGTCGGGGGATTTATGTTCACTTGTAGTTCTGTGGCTGGGCTGGAGGTGGTATTTCTGGACGAAGTGCAGGTGGTGGTGGTGGTCGATTCAAGAGCTTCTTGAAGTGGTCGGCCCATTTTTTCCTTTGTTTCCCTTCTTTGGTAATTATATTCCCGTCATCATCTTTTATTGGTTTCGTCTGCGTTGATCTCTTCCCAGATGGTAACCTGGTTGTTTGATACAATGTTGTCAAGTCTCTGTCTCTCTTACCTGCAGCCTGTTCTGCTTCACTTGCCAATGTGTCGTGGGAGTGTCTTTTGTCTTTCCGTGCACTCTTCTTCACTTCTTTGTCCAGTGTTTTATAAATTGTGCTCAGTTCCTCTTGTCGTTGGACATCTTTGCACTGGTTTATCTTCTGCTTCACCATCCTCCTCTCCCTACTCTATCAGCTTCCATGTATCCGTCGAGATCCATTCCTTATCTTGTCTTCTTTCTTCTTCCTTCCTAATACGGCTGTGCAGGTTTCTTTCCACATAGCTTTCAAAGACTTCCAGTGTTCTTCCACACAGGTCTCTTCAGGGATGTTCCTCGATATCTCCCATTTTGTCTTGATGGCTGATCGGCGTGAAGATTTCCTTTGTAGTTTCATCCTTCAGTTTCCGAGTGTTGTACTTGAACTGCGGTCGTCTGTCACCAGCTTTCTTGAAGGCTTTTAACTTGATTTTGAAGGCAGGTTCCTTGCACTAGACAGTGAGTTGTGTGAACCTACATCTGCTCCTCTTCTTGACCTTGTGTCAAGTAGGCTGACTGCGTCTCCATTTTCTTGAGATTGAGATAAAGTCGATCTGATTTTTAGTGTAGTGTGTCCTGGTGTCTGGTGAAATCCATGTTGCTCACTTTGTGGATATCCTTGTGCTTGAACACACTGCCTCGCCTCCAATCACCAAATCGTTGAATGCACAGAATTCTGAAAACAATTCTCCATTCTCATTCTTCATTTCACCTAGCACTTCTCGATCAATGGTTAGTTCTCTTCCCGTGTTGTCCCCTCCCAGTTTGGCATTCATGTCGCCCCACGCATTAGAATTTTGATATCGCCAACTGAGGTCTTGTCGAGTGTTGATTGAAGTTGTCTATAGAATTCCTCCTTCTTCTCTTGCTCTGCATTATTTGTAGGTGCATAGCATTGTATGATTGTGACCTTCCTTCCTTTTGAGTTGAAACTTGCTGTTATGATCCTGCAGGAGGAGATTGGTTCCCACTGCATGAGAGAGAGTCTTCGATGCTCTTCAAGCGGACATCATGATAGCCACTCGAAAACTCAGTGTGCTGTGCTCGTGGTTGTCGTCTGGGTGACAATATCGGAGTCGATTATTGACTCTGCAGTTGACAGTTTGGAGGGTCCACTCCCATTCCATCTGCATTCGCAAATTCCAAGCACTTCAATGTGATACCTTCTCATCTCTTTTGCAATGTGGGCTGCCTTGCTGGGTTCAAACATGGTGCTGACATTCCATGTCCCCATGTTTACTTTCTCTTTCATCGAGAGAGAGAAGACACATGGGCCAATTGGCTTCTGGGAGGCTTTCACCAACTGTCGTCATTTCGCCTCTCTGATCCCAGTGAGGAATAATTTTGTTATTATTTTTTATATATCGTTAGTGGCGTGAAGTTTCTTTAGCAGTTAGATTTGCTTTACGAGGTAGGGTTGCTAGCCGTATGCGCAACTTTCCCTCATTATACGGGCTTATGGCCGGCTAGTAACTAGTGAACTAGTTAACCGGGAGAGGTTTTATCTGCTAATACTACTTGGAAATTTGGCTTTTCCTCTGCTTCTCAATTTTTGATTCCAGTAAGAGAGACTGCTCATTACGCGCAAATTCCCGAATTCCCAGTAGTTGGCCAGTATTCTTTAGAACGAAATCTTTCTCTTCCGTAGATCAGACCAGTACTTCCAATGATCAAACTCTGTTTTCATTGGAAGCTCCCTCCTTTTCCCGACTCTATATCTCATGCTGGGTTATCTGGGTTTGGTTTCCGGTAGCAGGTTGCCCACTGAATATAGGTCTTTATAAAGCCATGAATGGATAAATTTCATGCTTTTGCGGTTTTGATGCATTCGCATCCGTTGGAGACTACAGATTTCCCTCACAGTTCCACCTTTTCCTTTGTCTGTTAAGTGATGACATTTAACACCACGACTGACTTCCTGGAGTGCGACTTTTTTGACAACTTCGAATTTCCCAGAGCCCTGGGGTGTGAAATAATGACTATCGTCTACTACGGTGACTTCATATTTGACAGAATCCAGTTGAAATTCATCCCTCAATAAGCAGCATTATTGGCAGATAGGTTGTTGAACTGAGTACCCCACACTTTCTCAGACCACCATGACAATGACACGCCTCATTCTCTTTCCTCGGGAACTGATCATTTCTTGTGACTGCTATTTTTGAAGTAAGGCTGCTGAGTCTGGGTGGCATAGGACCTGAAAATAGCCACCAGGCCCTGTCTTGTCCTTATAAATTACCCTCTTCGTACGTGTTAGGCTATTTCACAACTCACTTTTCATTCCGTGTTTGAACATCCTTCGTCTGCTCCATGACAGCCTGTATGTCAGCAGACGCATCGCCATTACTATCGCAAACAGAGACTTACTTTGTTGCTGCGCTAGTTTTAGGATGACATTCAGAAGCAACTCAGCTTCTTCGACCGATGCGTGGATATCTGAGCAGCACGCTAGGCTCATTTAGATACTATTTTGCTGCACGTTTAATGCTGTTTAGATGTCTCAGGCACATAGTTCGTACACACATTGTGGTACCACGTTATGCACTCACTACAGCAAATAAAGCGGTTGTTAGTGTGTAAACACAGCTAAGTTAAAAAATGTGTGTTGAAAACCACTCACTGAAATTATGCTATCTGTTTACACTTAAGTTTCATGTAGAGAACACTGGGCTTACTTTGATAACACCCTACTGTAGTAGCAGTTTTAATATGCTAAGTCTTATGAAGCTATTTTAACCTCGAGAATTCTCGAAGAGCGGCAAACTGAATGACGTAAACATAATGATGAGTTTCTTTGTTTGTTGTACGTAAGGTGTTGGTGGAAGCGTCTGAAGGGCTTATCGGAAGCTCAACACAATTTGTTTTGAACGTTATCATCTAGAGCATTGTCTATGGTTGTTCCTCTTGAAGCTGTTGGTAACTGTAGGTTAGATGAAGGTAGTCTCTACTTTTCGAGTGACCCTTTTGAAAATAGTCTTGGCAAAGGATAACGAGATAAAGCAACTTTTACACAGGGAAATCACTGACATTAGATCAACGTCTGAACGATTGCAGAAAGACCTTGACCTGAAAACAACACAACTTGAAAAGTTGAAGAATGATTTCATTTTTAACCTTCGATTAATCAAAGAGCGAGACTCAGTTATTTCGAAGCTTAATGAACACGTTTTATGCCTAACTAAGGTAGGTTTCGCCGATTATGCGTTCTGGTTTGAAATCACTAGTCTTAAGGCTTAGAAGTCTACTAACACTACTTCTATTATAACGCGAATTTTAACTTTTTTATTTGTTTTCTTCACTACAAAGATGGATAATTTTCAGATATTAGTGAAGACCTGTCTTCAACGTTTTTGCTCTATCAAGAAACAACGTGATATTAGATACTAGGCTACTGATCAATGCGTCTCTTCATCTTTTATGCAAACAAATCATGGCAAGAATGATCCTCATAAAAAAGTCCTGTAGGTACTTATTGGAATGAACACACAAAAATGAAACCAACTACCTCAGGGCGATCCAGTTTACGCATTTAAAAATGATTAAATGCTGGGAAATATCCCCAGCCAGGAGTTTAGCTTTTGTCAACAGCCATATACTAATACTGGATGCATAAAGTTCACCTGATTGTCGTACTGGTTGTTCCTTTTGCCTTTGGTCACCAGTCGTTTTGTTTCCTAATTTGACTGACTGATGACGTTGATGTTAGAAGATGGATTTTCTCTGTGATTCCCTTTCCTCATGAGTACGAATGTGATTCATGATTAGTTTTTCCATGCCTAATTAGCAATAACTTCTGCTTCATGCCCTTATGTACGAAATTCCAGTCAAAACGTTATCATATAATATGTTCTGGGCATAAAATTGGCTGCTGCAGTATTTCCAACCCAACAGAGATTCTTCAGCGTTCATTTGGTGACAATCCGAACCTACTGAAACACTAAGTATATCAATGTACGCTGAATTCCTTGTGGCTATTAGCGGATTGTAACGGGTGTTTGTTCTGAATGAATGTGACTTTTAGAAGTTAAATCACCCTTTTATTAATAGTGGTTGAGATCCACTAAGCATGATTTTCCTTCATGGTTTAAGTCGATGCGTTTCCACCCTTGGGCGTGTAAAGGAAAATTTTTAGGCTGCTACATGTAATAATGCGAAAATTTACTGTCAACCACATATTTTACACGTGTATAAAGCCATCAGAATTCGGATTCAGTGCAAGGTATTTTACCAAAGTATCATTGTCTGTTTCTTTTGCAGCTTCGCATTTTAATGAGGTGGTGTTTCACGTGCTTACAATTCAGTACTTAGAAAGGTGTCTTGGGAACCAAAATATATGTTGATAGACCATAGGTCACATCTGTTAGTTAGCGTTTGTTAGCACTTATCTGATCCAAATAAACTGTCTAGAGATCTAGTTTCACAAACCATGTTGCATTTAAGCATCATCATCATCATTATCAACATAGGACCAGGCATTACTGCGTAACGGTCCGAGTTGCCACACCTCATATCAGCACATCAAGTAAAAAGGTAGTGAGGTGAAGGATGAAGATAAGTGAATGCAGTCAAAAGAAATATAAAGTACGAGAAGAAAGGAAAGAGGAGTGACAAAATAGTGAGATTCGGTATAGCGTTGTTAAGATGAGGATAATGTGTGTATACATCTGCGCCACTGACTTCGGTTCTGAGCCATATCACCTAGGGTCTCCAACCACTGGTTCCTCTTGTCCCGTGGACCCCAACCACCTAGTCTGCATCGTCCTACATGGCTTAAACCAACAGTCAGAGACTTCATACATTGGTGCCATGTTTTAGTCTGGCCACCTCGGGCCTTTTTCCAGCCTGAACCCACCTCAGCCAACATTGTGTGACGAGGCAATCGGTGACTAGGCATACGTAGTACGTGTCCCAACCATCTCAGTCGATGAAGGTTCACAACCTCGTCGACTGACTTACCTCTTCTCCCTAAAACTCTACACCTAACTTCTGCATTACTCACATGGTGACACCACGGAATACGTCCTATACTACGAAGGCAACGGTGGTCAAACACCTGTAACCTTTTTGTGTCTTCCACTTTCAATGGCCATGTTTCACAGCCATACAGTAGAACAGAGCGGACTGCTGTGCAGTACACGCGACCCTTAATAGACAAACGAATATCACGGCGGCGCCATAGGTGGCGCAAATTGGCAAAAGCCAATCGAGCCTTTTGTATCCGTGCAGAAATCTCATCGGCAACTAACCCACCGGAGTTGATCCTACTTCCCAGGTAAGTGAAGTGGTCAACACACTCAACCACTTCACTCTCTATTGTTAACCGCGGTACCGCTGAAGACCAGTCCTGGAGCAAAAATTTGCATTTGGGTGGTGAAAATCGCATCCCAAACATTCTCAAATTCCCACTCAAAGTGTTCAGAAGACTCTGCATCTTGTCAGCGTCTTCACCTAACAGGACTATGTCATCTGCATATTCTAGATCTAAGGAAAATTCACCTGTGATCCGGTCAACGTCTTTGTAATTAGGTGACGAGAGGGAAACCTCCATAAGAATATCTATGATAAAATTAAATAAGAATGGGGATAGTGGGCATCCTTGACGGACACCACTTGATGAGTATAGCTCCCTGGACAACTCACCATAGGCTCTAACATGCCCACAAGTGTTCGAGTAGAGAGCTTTCAATAAGGTGATGTACTTACTAGGCACGCCTTTCAGTGACAGACACTGCCATAAGACTTCTCGATCAACGGAGTCAAATGCCGCCTTCAGGTCGAGAAATACAGCTATTGTCGGGCGTCTGTAAGCATGCCTATGTTCCAGGACCTGGCGCAGTGTGAATATTTGGTCGATACATCCACGGCCAGGTCTAAAGCCTGCCTGGTTTTCTCGGGCTTGCTGTTCCCGAGCTCCACTCAGGCGTCGGAGAATTATAGAACTTAGGATCTTAGACACTATGTTTGTCAGGCTGATTCCTCTGTGGTTATCACAAGAGGACTTCTCGCCTTTCTTGAAGACTGGGATGATGAGTGACTTAGACCAGTCGGAGGGGATCGTATTTGATTCCCATATACTGGCTAACACTTCCGTTAGCCTGACTAAGAGAACTCTACCACCATTCTTGTATACCTCAGCAGGTAGTCCGTCTGGTCCTGCTGCCCTTCCCCGTTTCAGGCTACCTACCGCTTTCTCAACTTCTTCTAGTGTTGGGGGACCTGTCTCTATGTCCCATTCAGGGTCCGACTGGATAGCGGGCAGCGCAATGGTGGCTGGAGGCCAGTTAAACTGTTCCTCAAAGTGTTCTGCCCATCGTCCCAGTCGCCTTCCCTGCGAGTGAATCGCCGATCCGTCCTTCTCCGCTATAACCTCACTAACTGTTGTTGACCATTTCCCCCCAGTCTCCTTAATAAGTCTAAATAACTGTCTACTGTTACCGATCGCCGCTGCCTTTTCCATCTCTTTAGCCTTTGCTGCCCACCACTGTTCACGATCGTTGCGCAGACTTTTCGTCAGTTTATTTTTAAGTTGCGCTCGCTCTTCATTGTACTCAGAGCCTGCAGGGATGCATTCACGTGCATCCATTAGTTTGGAAGAAGCTGCTGATATCCACTGGCTCTTTTTAGCCATTATCTTGGAGTCGGCTACAGTCTCCAGTGCTGCTTTTACAGTAGACTGAAGATGGCACCAAGCTTCTTCTGGATGAGTGACAGTCTTTTGTTCCGATAACTGCCTAGCCAACTTCTCACTGAACACGGCTTTGGTGTTTTCGTTGTCCAGCAGAACTCGTAGTGGTTTTGTTGCCAAATTTTTTCTACGTCCATTGAGACGCAGGCATATACGTGCTCGGACCAACGCATGATCGCTGTCCAAACACGTACTCCAGAAGGAGCGGCAGTCTTCCACCGATCCTCTCCAGCGATGACTAATAGCAATGTGGTCTATCTGTGTCCATCGCTGAGTCGAGCTCGGTGGACGCCATGTCAGACAGTGCCTTTCTTTATGTTCTTTATGTTCTCCTTGATGCAGTTTTTGACTAATTTTTGTGCTGTTAGTGAAATTTTCCAGTTTCTTTTAAATGAGATTCAGTTGCACCTCACAGCAAATAACTTGCTTCCAGTCATGGTCACTTAAGTGAACTAATACCAAACGGCATCTCAAAAATTCCGTTTCTTATGATGGCAATGATTTGATTGCACACAACAGGTATCTAAGCTCTTGTAGATTTGCAATGTAGAATGTCTGCAATCCCTTAAGATGTCTAAACTATTGTATGCTAACGTTAAATAGACGAGTAACCTCTTCAACACATTGATATTACTCCGTTAAGAGGAGAATGAACAAACTTTTATGACCAGAAGAACATTGAGTGATGAGGTAATCACGTGTTTATCTGAAAAGGAAACGAATTTCGTATGTGACCATTTAGTACCAACATAGACCTCAGCATTGCTGCGTAAGGGTTTGAATTGCCACGGCTCATACTTTGCAGCCCTATCGCTGATGATGTTCAGTAAATTCACTCTGATATGTTTTTTTCATAATTAAATTCTATTCATTCAAATACCAATGTTTCATATACTATCTGGTTGGCTTTTTAATCGTTGAAATACACATCATATAGCGAATCTTAATTACAGTAAATAAAGTTAACTAAATTTAAAACAGTTAGTTCCTTTTACAAACCTCTGCAAAGCAATAAGAAGACGTAAGTTGTCTGAAGCACGTAATGTATTTGAGCAACATATTTTGAACTATCTAATCACACACGTACTTTTCATAGGTATTTATATGGAAATTCGTGAATTTTCAAAGTTAGTTAGGCCTGAATTCTTGTATGCGTGGGAGCAGTGATTGTTCTCAGACAAATAGACAGACTATATAAACATAAGACCTGGGGTTATGACCTAACGGTCCACATTACCACATCTCATATCAGTCTAGCGAGTAAAAATGCACCAAGGTGAGACATAAAGAAATAGAGAAGAAACAATCAAAGGTGATAGCAAGTCATCAAAAGAGGGCAAGAAGAAATGAGGAAATACTGCATTCAGTGTGGTGATTGAGATCAAGATAATGTGTGGATAAATCTGCGCCATAGACAGATTATGAGCTGTGTCACTGAGAATCTGCAACCAATGCTTTCTGTTGTCACATGAGTCTTGGTCAGGAATTCTATATTTAT